CTAGTCTCGAATTAGGGACGACTAAATTTAATCCAGTTTAACCCAGAAGACACAGGTTGCACACGTTTTTTTTTTCTTTGCACTGAACCCCTTTGTCATATTTTCTCAATTTCGGGCATTCCCCTCATTGCCTCAGTCAGCATCGTAATCCTCGGCGTTGACATATCGAATCACGTTCAGTTTCGCGCTCACGTGGAAGGGAAGGCCATAAATATTGTCCTCTAAAAAGCTTGGCGTGCTTTGTAGAGCGGGACAGTATTTCATACCAGCACGCCGCTTGCAAAGCGCAGGTTCGACCTTACATGGAATACTGTTCTCATCTCTGGGCAGATTTACCCCAGTGCCAACTACTTATACTTTACCGCATTTATTGAAGAGTGGGTCGAATCGTCAACGGCCGAGTAATTTCTGATCGGCTCGATTAACTTGGCGCTGCGAAGAGATGTTGTATCCCTTTGCATTTTCTATCGCATTAACCACGGGGAGCGCTCAGAGGAATTGTTCGGATTAATTCCAGCTGCCAAATTCCACCAAAGTACATCGCGACAAGATTCCTGATACCATCCACACCATCCGGATGGTAGTTTTCTTCTACGCACGACTTCCTTGAGGAATCGTTTACCACCTGCGATTTTTCTGGACCGATACGCCTTTGGGACCTTCAAGAAACAAGCTTACTTGTTTTTAAAAGGCAAGCAACTCACCAGCAGTAGCGCACTTTTCACCAGGTGAGCCGCATGCTCGTTTGCAGTTTTAATTCTAAAAACCTTTAGAATTTGGCTTCAGTAAAAATAAAGGATTATTTGGTTCCCTAGACTTGTTTTTCCTAGGAAATATTAGAATTACAGACACGACTTTTCTTCAGATATATTATGTGTGTATATAGTGTGTATATACGAGGGCGGCACTGAAAATTTCGGGAATCAAGGAAGTGACACAACATTACTATTTAAAAATGTATTTATTGCTTTTCGAAGTATTCTCCGCGAAATTTGACACATTTTTCCATACGATGGAACCAATCATTGAAGCAACCATTCCATTCGGAAGTTGGGGTCTCCAAAATGGCCGTTTTGTAGGCGTCCACAGCTTTTTCATGTGATGAAAATCTCTGTACACGCAATTTATTCTTTATTTTAGGGAAAGTATAGAAATCATTAGGGCTTAGGTCGGGGCTGTACGGTGGATGGTCTAATAATTCTATGTTTTCTTGCTCTAAAAAGTCTTTTGTTCTGTGTGCGGTGTGAAAACTCGCATTGTCGTGATGGAGGATGATGCGGCGGTTGTAGTTCTCTTTACGAAGTTCAGAAACGACCTGAGGCAAACAAATGCTAGCATACCATTCTGCATTAACCATTCTTTGTTCCTCAAGAGGAATAGTCGTAACATGGCCGGTTTTGGAGACAAACGTGGCCACCATTTTTTTGCAACACTCCGTGAACGAACAATTTTTGTTGGCTTTAACTCATTTTCGAAAACCAAACTCGTGACTGGTTTTTTGTTTCGGGTTCGTACGCATATATCCAGGATTCGTCACCTGATACGATGTTGTATACAGCATTTGAGGATCTTGCGTGGAATCTTTCGAGAGTTCTGACGCACCAAGTAACGCGAGCCGCTTTTTGCTCTTCACAGAGCGAATGCGGTATCCATCGGGAAAACAACTTTTTTACACCTAATTGTTCATGCAAGATTATTTGTATTTGACTCATGCCAATGTCTAAAGTTGCCTGAATTTCGCGGTATGTCACATGTCGATCTTCCTCAATCAGCTTACGCACAGCATCAACGTTTTCTTGGGTGACTGCAGTTTTTGGACGACCTTGACGGGGATCATCACTGAGCTTGACACGTCCACGTTGAAATTCAGCAAACCAGCGATAAATTGTGTTTTTGGATGGGGCTTCATCACCAAATGCAGAAATCATCCGGTCAACACACTGTTTTTGTGTTAAACCACTTCGAAAGTCATAATGAATCATCGCTCTTGAATTTTCTCGAGTCAATTCCATTTTCTCAACCACTAAACAAGTTTGATAAAACCTTGTGGCAAGACCGAGAATCTTTTTTTTAAATAAATAAATGGTATTCGATTTTTAAAACCAAGGACTTTTCAATTAAAAACATTTTAATATGACAGGAACATTGGAAATATTCTATTCCCGATACTTTTAGTGCAGACCTCGTATAGATGATGATGACGTTATTTATTATATGTATTTATATGGCACTTTTATATTCTTGATGTTAACGCTCATCAACACACTGCACAATGTACAGTCTCTAAATATAGAAGCCTTGACAGAAAACCATACAGAACACCATAGTCACCATTTCTTGTTACTGGATGATTATTTTCTTTGCATTTGATTTGAAAAATCTTAAGAAAAATAGGCAGTGAAAACCTTAAGACTATTGATTCCTTTTACCAAAGATTTCGTTAGTACAGGCATCAATGAAATTCCATTAAGATGGAGGAAGTACATCGAAAATAAATGTCAAGATTTCAATTAATTACGTAACTTTCATGTGGAAATTTTTTGTATTTTTCTTTACAAAAGTATTTAAATACTTATTAAGTTAGTTATCCTGTAAAATCGTCTACAGCTATGTATACTATAGTTGCTAAGCTTGGAAGCATATTATTGCATTACAACATGGATCACATCTTTGATGTCGTGCCCAAGATGGTTATTAATTTTTGAGAGGACACAAGATATTGACTTTCACTTAATGGACTCATCACAACATTTCAGTGTTATTCATAATTTTATTATTATACTATTATGTGAGACAGTAAAACCATTGCAGGCAAGTGGAGCAATAAAACCAAGGCGACCCCGTCACGCTATCCGTGAATTTTTGCAACATCAGGGGACTTCATTCCAACCTTAACGCTGTCCGTTACCATCTAGAGACGGCGAAGCCGGCCTTGCTCTTTTTAACCGAGACTCAGGTGTCCTCTCCGGCTGATACTTCATATCTCTCCTACCCGGGGTACAAATTAGAATACTCCTTTGTGCCCCGGGCTGGAGTTTGCGTATACGTCAGAGGACATCTGTTTTCGACGCCTCGGCAGTCTTGAAGGTACGGACATGTCCATCCTATGACTACGCGTAGACAGCGACGATCATCCCCGCGTCTACGGGTGCCTCTATATGTCCCATAGCAGTAATGCCGACACAGACCGACTCATCGACCACGTCAAAATGACTGCAGACTCCGTGCTACAACAGGTCCCATCCGCAGAGATCGTGATACTCGGTGATTTCAACGCCCACCACGCTGAATGGCTTGGTTCTCGTTTAACCGATTATGCGGGTTGATCTGTCTATGACTTTGCCCTGGCATATGGTCTAACACAACTGGTTACTTCGCCTAAGCGGATTCCAGATGTGGAAGACCATGTACCTTCCCTGTTGGACCTTCTGCTGACCTCTCATCCGGACGGATATCAGAACTCCGTCGATGCCCCTCTGGGCTCTTCGGACCACTGTCTGATCCGGAATACGGTGCCACTCACGCTCTAATCGCAGTTGCGATCTGCAGCTTACCGACGTGTTTGGCACTATAGGTCAGCCGATTGGGACGGGATGCGGTCTTTTTTTGCATCCTACCCTTGGGTTTGCTTCTCGCCGGAAGATCCCAGCGTTGTTGCCGATTCTGTCGCTGATGTGGTACTTCAGAGTATGGAACTTTTTATTCCATCGTCTGTGGTACCCATTGGAGGCAGATCCCAGCCATGGTTTGGTCGCTCCTGTAAAATAGCATCACGCTATAAGCAGGAGTGCTAACGGGCCTGGGCTGACGTATCAACGTCTCGGGATGTAAATACCAATGCACTTAAAAAGAAGTATAATTCCGCCTCCAGGTCCTTCAAAAGCGTCATTGCCAAGGCAAGGTCTGAGCACATCGGCAGAATTGGCGAGAAGCTAGTTCGCCTTCCTTCGGGAACCCGTGCATTCTGGTCTCTCGCCAAGGCTGTCCAAGGGAACTTCTGTCAGCCATCTCTTCCATCTCTGCACAGAGAGGACGACTCACTGGCCCATGCCACAAAGGAGAAAGCCGATCTGTTGAGCTCTCTCTTTGCGTCCAACTCGACTCTAGATGACGGGGGGAACACACCGCAGACTAGCCCGCGATGTGAGTGCTCCATGCCGGATGATCCACCCGATCCCTAAAAAAAGCGACCGCTCAGACCCGTCCAACTACAGGCCTATCGCCATCACCTCCTTGTTCTCCAAAATAATGGAATCCATTATAAATTGCCAGCTCATGAGGTACCTTGAGGATCACCAGCTGATTAGTGACCGCCAGTAGGGTTTTCGTCGGGTTCGATCAGCTGGTGATCTTCTGGTCTATCTGACTCATAGATGGGCGGAGGCAGTAGAGTCCAAGGGAGAGGCATTGGCCGTTGCTTTGGACATAGCGAAGGCCTTCGATCGGGTCTGGCACAAAGCGCTTCTTTCGAAGCTTCCTTCCTATGGGCTTCCCGAGAAACTGTGCAAATGGATCACCAGTTTGAGCCGCATGCTCGTTTGCACCCTATTCTATAAAAAAAAGTAATAGAAAATGCTAGAAACATTTAATTTCTGATAGATGGTGTCTTGTGTTAGATAAAATTTATTACGTGGTAGAGCCATGCTGCAGTTGTATTAATAGTATAGTTGTAGCACGAATGGGTCGGCCCAACCGGGGTAGGACCACGCTCTCAAAGAATACCTGCGTAAAATAGCAGCTTAATGCTGCTGTGTTTCGTATGGTGAGTGTAGAGAACCGGAGACCCTTTTTACTGGAACATAGGCATTCTATCTTAGTCCTCACCTCATCTGTATTTTAATTCGTAAACGATGATAGATGTAGATGTCTATGGGCCACAGCAACCACTTACCATCAGGTGGACTGTGTGCTCGTTTGTCACCTTTATTTTATAAAAAAAAAAACACTAATATGAGTCATGTACCAACATTTTATAACTATGTTTATTATATTACACTTACCTTAAACAGAAACAGAAACAGGTATACTAGGAAGCCCAGAGACATAAATGTGGCCGAAAAGGAAGCAATCCTATTTGCAAAAGATGTCACATTAGGGTTTGGTGTTAGTGAACCTAATACATGAATTTGCTGGTATCTGTCATATAGGATCTTTCCAGCTGCAAAAAATTGTTAGCACATTGGTTAAAATGCAAAAAATATACCTGACCTTTTATTACAAACATCACTGTAATGAAACATATTTTTATAAAACCACTCATAGATATTACATTAGATATTATAAATAAATATACATATGTAAATGTGTTTACAATATTAGTGTATTAATTGTGTATGATTTGTGAAGCATTTTGAAAACATTTACTGTCGTCATAACTCTAACCAAGTCTAACCTAGAGCAGTAGTGACCATCTTCCACTGGATGAAACGTGCAGATGTGATGAAGAATGGAGGTGACTCAGAACCATGCTTTGTGGCAATCCTGCCTAAGTGTAGCAGTGGGCTGTAATGATAATGATGATGGACCTAATTCCAGACAGAAAGATTTTTCGTTAATAACTTTCTACACCATTATTGTAATTACAGGCTACCAAAATCTACTGTTGAACATAGAGCTCCACAATAGGGTATTACATCCATTTTCAAAGTGTTTTAAATGAATCCTAGAGTGATAATGAACCACTATAATTTTCATATAATTTTTTTAAAACCGAATAGTGACATAAAAATTACTTTTAATCTATCGTTTTAAATTTTCGCGTGAAAACGCTAGCCGCCATACTGTTCACTGTCGTAGAATTTTGACAATTTTGCAAAGGAATAAGATACTTTTGAATGTTTAATAATGAGTTATCATTTATATCATTGTTGTGCTGTGCCTGATTGCAAAAATACGAGCATAAGAACGCCGGGGAAGTTATGGATTAAAGTGCCAACTGATTTAAATATGAGAAATACTTGGTTAAAACTGGCAAGAAGAGAACCGAAGGCATTGTCTACAAAATCTAAACTATACTTCTGTGAAGATCACTTTGATGTAAGTATGACTTATATTTAACTATCGATTAAACAAAACAAAACATCATGACATGATAGGTACCTATTGCAAGTCAAATTTTGTAATAGAAGAATAGAGGTTAATTGCTCATCTGTCCCGCCCTTTGTGGGCCAATTTGATAGCCCTTGCAAGTGCAGTGCAGTTTTACTTAATTCCTGTTTTCTTCAATTATATGGTAATAAAGACATGGTTTGTATTCAGACCAAATAAAAAAGTGACTTTTAATTTCGTCTGAGGGTTTGTACAAAAAATATAACAAAAAGTTTTTCTCACCTAAGCTTATATTATACTAAGATATTATAATATCTATAACATTGGTGCTAAAAGCGAAGTAATAAACTCGCTTTTACAAATTCGTCTTCCATGATGCCTTTTCAATAAAATTCGGAATAAAAGTCAATCGTAATGATAACTTGAAAAATTTCGAAATTAGCTAGTTAGTACACAGCACATAACCTAGTTCTTTGACCTAGTGAAATCACGACACTATCTAATATGGCGGACATCGTTTTGCAGATTTGAGGCACAGGTAAAAAATATTATTCTTTAAATTGAAATATAAAATTTATAATGCATTTTTATAAATAGAAATCAATATTTCTCGTTTACTTTTTACATAATCTATCATAAATATATATTCTTTGATTTTTTTTACATGGTGTAAAATACCCTATAGATTGCCTCATTGGGAGGATATTTGCACCCATGGCAGCAGACAAGTTAGCAACTACAGTTTTTTATTATTTTTGGTTGTTATGGCTATCTTCTTTTTGTTTTCCTCTGACACCTTTCACAATACCCACAGGATCATATGGGTTAGTTTGGGCAGTGTTTTTCTTAAACCGGCACTACATAGCAGATGACACGTCCACACCAAACATTAAGGTGCATATTTGCAATAAATAAAAATAAGATGCATCAACAAATTATAGAATAATTTATAGGTCCATTGCAATTACAAGAACTAGCAGGGGCAAATGAATATTGAACCAACAAGTGTGTACAGGCACAGAGCGAAGCAAATTCCTACATAATTTTTGTGACAAATAAATGTAAGCAGCTCCACACATCCAAGAAATAGAAATGGGCCAATAGCATCTAGCCTGAATAGTTGACTGTTCTATATATTTGATGATTCTTATTCTAATAATAAAGATACTGATTACTTATATTTATGCAAACACTACTTATACATTGAATGAAACTATTTTACAGATTTTTATTGTGTTAAATCTGCATTATTTTTAATTCCTGATGTTTCAGGAACTTTGCAGCACCCATAGTCACAGGGGCCTGTGGTGATTGATGTCCCAATGTGGAAGTTAACCTGGAGTACCTTCCGCTTTTTAATTATTAATTTTGAAAGAATGAGCTTACTGTATCTTGATGTCTTGCAGTGGTATGCTTGGCAGCTCATTCTGTGTAGATCAGACCAAAATTAACAATTAATAAATTAAAAAGCTGAAAAAACTCCAGGTTAACTTTGACATTTGGAAATCAATCACCTCAGTTCCCCCATTAAAAATAGTTTTATTCAAATGAAGATGCTGTACAATAATTACTTTCTAATTTAATTGCTTTAACCTTTTACATTAGTTTTATGGTGACAGCTTTAGAGATTCCATAACCCTATTTTGTCTGAAAGAGGTGACGCTGGGAAACCTCAGGAAGATCTCAAGGCTTCCAATTTTAATAAATAGTAACATAACCATTGCATTTACACCAGATGTAAAATTAAGGGATATCCCCCTAATGGAGGTGGACTTTAAGTCATTAAGAATTAAAATAAAAAAACTACTAATTAGATATGGAGGCTCAACTTTAAATAAACTACCCAAAGATCCTACCTATCCTATCATATAACTTACTAAAGTTAGCACTTGCAAATGACTAATGTTCAACAGATCTACTTTTTCATTTTACATTTACAAAGTTTAGTTAAAAATTAAAATTACAGCCTATATATGTCCCACTGCTGGGCACAGGCCTCCTCTCATTTCTGAGAGGGTTTTAGGGCAAGGAAGTGTCCGCAGCGCTGCCTCAATCGTGTTAGTGAATTTCACGTCTTCGAAATATTTTTTTCTTATTTCGCAGACATGCAGGTTTTCTCACAATGTTTTCCTTCACCGCCGAGCATGTGGTAAATCAGCACTTAAAATTGCAATTAACAATTTCATTGGTGCCGGCGGGCATCAAACCCAGGTTGTTCGCGTACTGTGAAATTGACAGTGAGCACTAACCATCTGAACTACCACGGCTCTCAAAGTTTTAGTACTCCGAAACAAATTGCTAAAGTTATTTTGGGGTTTTATAAAATTTTATTATACTTATTTTTGCACCCTGCAATTAAAATTAAATAAACTTATATTATAAAAAATATATATTACCATTATACAGCCTATAAAAGTCCACTGCTGAACATAGGCCTCCCCAATTGATCACCTCATAGGGGGGATTTTGCCATGGTTGCCATGCTTGGCATGCGGTTTGGCAACTAGTAGTTTTTTATAATTTTGAGTTGTTACTGGGAAGATGCTGCTGCCCTCATGTTTCAGTTTCCCTCTGTTGCCTCTTATGACACCCAGGGGATGTATATGTGGTAGTGGATATTTTAACACCACCACTAGACAGTGTTACATTTAAAACTATTTCCTGGTGAAAATTTATTTTGATGGACAAAAACTCAAAAATATTTAGACTAGAGAAATTTAAATTATTTTTGATAAAAAAGATTTTAACTAAAATAATGAGCTGGATAAAAGTAATTATGACAAAGACTAGTAGATTAAATAAATTTTTGAGCAGGGGCATGTTTGATGCTTTATACAAAACATTTATTGCCTATATGCCTTAATATCTTAAATAGTTTTATGCAAGCTAGCGTAACTAGACTACATACCTATAATTTTGTTGTGTCAGTAACAAAGTGCTTTTAATTGCAGCTTGGCGCAAAACTAGTTTTGATGGGCATTTTACATAAAAAAATACATTATTGCAGGAGCTCCATCCCCCTTCTATTTCAAAAAAATTTTACTAAAATACTTAAAATTGTGATGCAATTATAATTTTAAAAATTTATAAAAAGTATGTATTTCCAAGGTTACAACAAGGGGGTTCCCCTCTTCATTCCCGCTTCTCCCCTCCTATTGCAATATTAAGGGATAGTTAATCTAAAGTCCTCCAATATGCAACAGTAGGTTTTTATAAACTTTCATAAAAAATTTACACAAAAAATTTGTACTACTTTTTTCTAACTCAAAATAAATAGAGTATTGTTATAATGTTACAACACATTTTTAACGGTATAGTAAACAATCTCCGCTCACCAATTGCTCCGCTGGCCACATATAGAAAAGCAAGGCCAGTTTCGAGAGAGTTAGTCTCTTTTGCAATTTGGAAGCAAAGTCTGAAAAAGAAAATGTATTATGGTTACAAAATCTCAAAACCCGAGACATAAAATCTGCAGACAATAATAATTAAAAAGGTAAAGATTCATCTATAGCCTCTATTCAATAAGTAGATACTGTAACATGTTTTGGTCAATTAAATAAAATAATTTATTAGTCACTCACTTCTAGTTACAAGTAAAAGTAAGAACAACAAATGTTAATAAACTTACGACAGAATATATGTAGAAAATAATATAATAAGCGCACATTTAAATAACAACATGATACTATGCTTAAATGAAAAAAATACGTTGAACGTTTATTTTTATAAACAAAATTGAGATCTTGTCTTTCTGCACAACAAGATCACACATTATAACATTACGGACATGACATTGACAGATGAAACACATTGACATTGTTGTTGTTGTTTTTATTATTCGCTCGTGAGCAGGCAAAGGAACTAAGCCATACAGCCTTGTCTTTTTTATTTTGGATATATAGAATTTTAAGGAACCAAATCTTATTTTTCTTCTCTCCATCCCTTCAAAATCCATAAAGGCCGAAGTCAAGTCTTATTTTCTTTAATTCTTCATAGTTTCAAAAACCCGTAAAGGCTAAAGTCAAGTCTTCTTTATATTATATTCTTTGTAGGTTTCAATCCGTGTAGATTTGTCAATCCAATATTTTCAAAAACAGGGATACCATATTTCATATTTCTTTTACAGTATTATGAATAAAATTGCAAAGTGCTAAATACGTCTTAGTATTCCTAAGGACATCTTGCAGGGCACGCGGGACGCATTCTGAGTTTTCATAAACTTGTATAAGTTTTTCAATGAGTAGCAATCTTTCAATGGCGTACGCTGGGCAGTTATTATAAACACATTGACATTACATTAACAGCTATAATATTTTTTTTATACAGCTGCACCACAAACAGTTTTATTTAATAACTGGCTTTACGGCTCTGGGTTCTAGCCCTTCTGTTCCTAAAGTTACAATGTATAATTATCATTCATAGTACACTGCTTCACAACATATTGATGCGTCACATTGTGCAGCCCTTGGGAGATTTAGACGGCAATTTGAGGCAGACAGCTGACAATTCGCGATGGTATCTCAAGGCGCCTAAGCGACAGACCTTATCTTGAATATCACATCACAATCAGAGCAATTGTTTCACCGTTTCCACTAATAGTTCACATGTGCAGATACTTAATACACAAAATCGCACCACTTTTACATATCAAAATCCACTTCACACCATTATTTAAACAATAATACAGGAGCAGCAAACCGCCGCCGGTCAAGTTCCCGCCAAAACCAACACAAACAGCTGCACACTGTGACCACAGACTAATAACGATAGGAGTAGGACCATTATGATCTAGTATATGTATACTTTTTTTGCGCCTAATGCAAGGCACACTCCGGAAGTGGGGGTGGGAGGTGGTGAATATTCATAGTATACCACGGCAACTGGCCGCGTGGTTATGTCGGACTGGGACTCACTTTGAAGAAGTGCCTACCCACTAAACACCACCTGTGGAACTAGCATTGGCTTGTATGGCCTTCCTGTTGAATCAAAACCGACCCCTTTAGGGAAATGAGGGCGCAGGGTATATGTATATTCTATACAGCACTGACCTCTATATATACAAGTACGCTAAAGTAAGTACCGGGAACTAAAATAGACCTAATATGCCAAAGTCTGTTGTAATATGTCGTTACTCCTACTAGTGGGGGGTCGCCCTACACTTCGCCTACTGGTACGAGGCTGCCACTCGAGAACCTTTCTTCCCCATCGGTTGTCGGTTCTTCGAGCTATATAGCCGGCCCACTGCCACTTCAGATTACTAATCCGTTGGGCTATGTCAGTTACTCTGGTTCTACTGCGGATATACTCATTTCTAAGTTTATAACGCAGAAACACCCCGAGCATAGCCCTCTCCATAGCGCGCTGGGCGACCTTGAGCTTCCTCATATGGCCAGCAGTGAAGGACTACGTCTCAGATCCGTAAGTCATCACTGGCAACACGCTCTAGTTGTACAATTTTGTTTTCAGGTTTTGAGGTATGTCTAACGAGAAGATGTGTCGAGTTGAATCCGTCGATTGACCTCTCTGTCGAAGTTGGACTTACCTAGTCGGACTATTTGTCCCAGGTAAACATACTCGTCAAGAACTTCGAGCTTAGTGCTCCAAACAACTACCGGCATAGGTGTGACATGGACGTTAAACATGATCTTTGTTTTATCCATGTTCATCTTAAGACCTATCCGTTGGGAGACACTATTGAGATTATTGAGCATAGGGCTTAGATCCTCCAGCGATTCTGCCATAAGGACTATATCGTCGGCAAATCGAAGGTGAGTGATGTACTCGCCATTGATGTTAATACCGTATCATTTCCAGTCCAGTAGCTTGAAAACGTCTTCATCTGCAGCCGTGAAGAGTTTCGGGGATATAACGTCACCCTGTCTTACACCTCCCTGCAGTTGGATAGGTTTCGTATTCTGATTCTGTACTCGGATAGCCATCATAGCTCTACTGTACAAACACTTCGATATACCGACAGTCAACTTGGCACCGCTGAAGGGACTGCAGCACCGCCCAAATTTCGACGGAATCAAAGGCTTTCTCATAGTCTACATACGCAAGGCAAAGCGGCGGATTATACTCCTCTGTCTTCAGTACAATCTGCAGCAGGATATGTATGTGGTCTATGGTACTAAAGCCTTTTCGGAAACCGGCTTGTTCGGGAGGCTGGAAGCTGTCAAGTCTGCGCGCGAGATGATTCGTAATGACTCTCGAAAACAGCACGTAGACGCGTCTCAGAAGGGAAATCGATCTGTAGTTCTTCAAGAGAGCGTTGTTACTTTTCTTGAAGGACAAGACCACCGTACTTCTGCTCCACGCCACCATGGATGACGGAATTAAAGAGCTTCTGAAGGACTTCAAGTACCGGTTTTCCACCTGCTTTCAGAAGCTCCGCTGTAATTCCATCCTCACCCGGGGACTTGCCGTTTTTAAGGTGCTGGAGAGCCATTCTAATCTCGCTCAGACTGACGTCCGGGATATCTTCGGAATAGTGTCGGATAAGACTCGCTCTTGGATCGTTACTCACACTCGCGTGTGGCTCCAACGATGACGTGTACAGCTGCCCATAGAACCTGTCAATCTCACTCAAAATCTCAAGTTTCCCGGAAACGATGCTGCCACACTCGGTCTTCAGCTTTGACAGTTGGCTCTTTCTGGCAGACAGATCTCGGGCAAAGACTTTGGAGCCTTGGTTCCACTCGATCGTTTCTTCAATACAAGCTGTATTGAAGTTGCGTAAGTCCCGCCACATGCATTTGGAGATCTGTCTGTTCAGTTGCCTGTATGCTGTCAAATCTGTTGAAGAATGTAGCTTCATCTCCCGTCTAACAGCCATGAGATTTAGAGTGTGATCGGAGAATTTTTGTGTTCTTCTGTGACGGGTCTTACAGAACTTAGCTCCGATCGCATGGATAGTTTCCACGAGCTTGTCATTCATATCGTCCACTTCATTGCAGTCTTCTAGGCACTGAAAACGGTTTTGTAACTCGAGCTGAAAGGTTTCGGGAGTTTGGAACAGAGCACGAGGGGGACGGAGCGTTGACTTCATTAGACGAGACCTCTCCAACTTATCGTTTAGGTTCAGTGTGCCTCTAACCATTCGGTGATCGCTACCAGTTTTCACCCTTGCGATCACGGAGACATCACAGAACAGTTGTCGTCTGATTGTCATAATGAAGTCAATCTCATTTTTGTCGAACCGTCGGGGACAGACCAGGTCCACTTCCTCTGGGGCCGCTTCTGGAAGAAAGAGTTCATCATAAAGAGTCCCTCTTTCTCCATGAAGTCGGCCAGCTGTTGGCCCCTTGGGTTCCATTGCCCTATTCCAAATTTCCCTACTTTCAGCTCACCGTTCTCTCTTGTGCCTAGTTTTGCATTGAAGTCTCCCATTAACACCGTATATTGGGTTTTGGAGGAATGCATGGCTCTAGAGATATCCTTATACATTTCCTCCACCTCCTCATCGGGATGTGCCGAGGTTGGTGGGTAAACCTGTACGACCTTCAGCGAATACCGTTTTGTGATTCTGAGTATAAGGTACGCAACCCTCGTCGACACACTCTCAATCTTTACAACGTTGTTAACGAGAGACATGTGGACGATAAATCCAACATCTCCTTGGGACAGATGGTCACCCTCCCGGTGATAGAGCAAGTTACCGGATTCAAGGATTACCGTGTCCTCCCCCTCTCTTCGGACCTCTGATAATCCTATAATATGCCAGCGTAACTTGTTTATCCCTTCTTCCAGCTCCACGATCTTCTCGTCAGTCCTCATGGTGCGTGCGTTATATGTTGCCAGGACGAGTCGTCGTAGGTGTCAACCGAACCTCCACCGAAGATTCTTAGCACCCCCTGCCCCGCCGTTACCATGGTCGCCATCGTAGCCAGGAATAGCCGTGCCGCCGTGGACTGGGGGCCGTCTCTTTATTGCTCTCATCATTGGGGGTATTTGCCATAGTTGCCTCGCTTGGCGAGCGGGTTGGCAACCGCAGTTTTTTATTGTACTTTTGCTGTTATCAGGAAGATGCTGCTGCCCATCTCCTGCCTGTTTCCCTATGTCGCCTTTTACGACACCCATGGGAAGATATGGGGTAGTGGATATTCTTAACCGCCACTACACGGCATGATTTTAGTTACAAAATAAGAATTATTTTTAGTAATAATAAGAGTGTGCCTAATATGTAAAAATCATTACCAAAAGGAAAGTGGGATAACATTCAACAAGTGAGTGAATTTGCAGCTAATATTAAGCAAATTAAAACTATTTGATAATATAGGTACTTAAAAATTTGTTACTAACCTTAATATCGTAATTATCAACATGTTTGGCTCTATATTACTGAGTTTCGATAAACAATAAAATTCACTAGGGTTGTTGAATTCCTTGTCTATAACACTTATCAATGTCTTTTCTACCCATCCCCCATTTTATATACATCTAATATACATTAGACTATAATTATGGCTAAAAAACACAAAAATTGTGCATTGGCGTCCGAAACAAAAGGATTATCTTTGTTCTAAACACTTCACAGACAACTGATTTAGGACATGAGAAACACATTGTAATCGGATAGAAAGACAGACGCTAGCAACTTATTCCACTCTTTTGCTGTACGCATGATGAATAATGTAGCAAACTTTTGCATCATACAAGACGTTTTTGGTTTAATTATAGAT